ACTTATTATTACTGAATCACTGAATAAATTTTGTCATTGTTTATAAATTCGTGGAAATCCTTCGAAATCCTAAAAAATTCTTAGAATTTCTACGTATTTGATATTTTCTTAAAAAAAAACAAATTAAACCATTGCTCCTATTCTCCCCTTGTTCAAAGAATCTCTTTTTTGCTGAAAAATTTTACCAACGAACCGAATTTCAAGCCTTTTTCATTTCAGAGAGAGATTTTGAATACTTGAAAATGGGAATTTTGATGACAAAGTTTTTTTCGAAAAATTTTTGATATTTTGTCAACTGAAAATTTAGCCTGGTGATGCGATAAACGATAAAATTTCTTAATTAGAAAAATGAGAAGTATTTTTTAGGAATTTAGTTTTTTCAATGAGAATACAAAGCAGAAAATGGTAAAATTACAAGATTTTTGACCTAACATAACAAGTTTACCAATTTGAAAAAACTTCTAAATTTATAAAAAAATTAATTTTTTACTCCACATTTTTTTAATTCAGAAAGGTTATCGTTTATTCCAGTGAAAAACTTTCTTTAAACTCAGAAATAAGATAAAGGTTCAGAAACTTGTACCTTATTTTGTCAATTTTTTTGAATTCACAAAGTTTCATTGTGGAAAACGTTCTCAATTTACAAAATAACTCATTTTTTATGTAATTTTGCAAATTTTTATTTAATGGTTTTCAGGAAAATTTGAATATCTAAAACGTTTTAAAATCTACTGAAATGAGCAGAAATAATGCATTTCAGAATGAATTTTGTAACTTTCTGCTTAGTTTTGGTAAAATATTTCGAATTTTCAGTTTCTGCATAGAATTATAAAAAACATTCAAAAATAGCCCATTTTTAGATTAAATTTTGCAATTTTCTGTCTTCTTGTGGTAAACATTGATCTAAATTTTGGTATTTGGTCATTTTCTGCTTAGTTATGACCGAATTTAGAAATTTTATCATTGAAAAAACTACTAAATTCGTAAAAAACAACGCATTTTTTGCATTAGAGAACTAATTGTGCAATTTTTGTCTTGTTATAGAAACAATAAAACGTTTTAACCTTATAAAAACACATTTCCAGCTCTAATTTTGCCATGTTGAATCTTGTTTTGGGCAAAATTTCTCAAATTTTGTAAAGTTTCCGATGAAAAACATGATAAAATTTTTTATTTTTCATTTTCAAATATTCAAAATGTCTCTGAAATGAGAAAAACGCTTGAAATTCGGTTCGTTGGTAAATTTTTTTCACCGAAAATTAATTAAGAGATTCTTTGAAATAAATTTTGCATTTGTGGTAAACTACTCAAAATTTTCTAACGTTCTCAATGAAACACTTGACACATTTAGACCAAATTTCGAATTTTCTAACTTCCTGAAGTAAACATTGATCTAAATCTTGTAATTTTACCATTTTGTGCTTTGTTTTCTCATTGAAAATACTAAATTCGTAAAAAATACTCCTCATTTTTCTAAATAAGAAATTTTATCGTTTATCGCATTCCCAGGCTAAATTTTCAGTTGACAAAAAATCAAAAATTTTTCGAAAAAAACTGTCATCAAAATTTCCATTTTCAAATATTCAAAATCTCTCTCTGAAATGAAAAAGGCTTGAAATTCGGTTCGTTGGTAAAATTTTTCAGCAAAAAAGAGATTCTTTGAACAAGGGGAAAATAGGAGCAATGGTTTAATTTGTTTTTTTTAAGAAAATATCAAATACGTAGAAATTCTAAGAATTTTTTAGGATTTTGAAGGATTTCCACGAATTTATAAACAATGACAAAATTTATTCAGTGATTCAGTAATAATAAGTTTTCGATGAGAATCACTGTAGAATCATTAAAAAACAAGATAAATTTTCCATTTTTGGTAAAATATTGAGAATTTATTTAAAAATATTGAAATTTCGAAATTTTCTAATTTCTTGATCTAAATTTTGTAATTTTGCCATTTTCTGCTTTGTTAGGTCATAACAATTTTAGCAATTTGAAAAAACCACTAAATTCATAAAAAAATAACGAATTTTTTGCATTAGAGAAATAATTGTGCAATTTCTGTCTTGTTATAGAAACAATAAAACGTTTTAAACTTATAAAAACACATTTCCAGCTCTAATTTTTCAAATTTCAATCTTGTTTGGGGCAAAATTTCTCAAATTTTGTAAAGTTTCCGATGAAAAACATGATAAAATTTTTTAATTTTCATTTTCAAATATTCAATACTCTGAAATGAGAAGAACGCTTGAAATTCGGTTCGTTGGTAAAATTGTTCACCGAAAATTAATTAAGAGCTTTGAAATAAATTTTCCATTTTTGGTAAAATATTCAGAATTTTGTTAAGTTCTCAAACAAATTTCGACCAAATTTCGAAAATTTCTAGCTTCTTGATCTAAATTTTGTAATTTTACCATTATTAGGTCCCACGCCAAATTTGGCAAAATATCAAAAAAATTTCGAAAAAAACTCATCAACTTCGTTGTTTAAAATGTAAAATTGTGTGTTTTTTTTTCTTCCAGAGGGTCCGTTCCAGTCTGACGCCCTCCTGGTGCCCGAAAACTGCTTATTCGACCACATCCACAATCAAAGCAACTGCTGGACATTTGGCCGTTGGAATGCCACAGCAGGAAACGCTTGCCAAGAAAGAGGACTCCAACTTCGATCCTTTGCTATGCTTCTTCCCTGTGGCATTTCTTTGTTTAGTGGTGTGGAATTTGTATGCTGTCCCAAACACTTCAAAGGCAAGTTTTTCTACCTAACTACACACATATCGCTTTGTTTCCTTCCGTGTGAATGAATAACTTTCCACTGAGTGAGAAAATGGAGAGAAAAACACACTTTAATGACTTTTTTTTTTATTTTTCGACTCTGATGACATAAACTACTTTGTTGTAATTCTTAAATCATAGTCTTTGACATTTTTTTTTAGTAAATTGCAATTAAAGAAAACTAATCAATTGTTCATAACTAGAAAAAAAAGCAGTTTTAACAGTTAGCAATTGATTTGAAAACAATTTCAAAAAAGCAAAGCAATTTTTAAGTAAAAATCAAAAATAATTAGTATACAAATCTGTTTTATCTGCGACTTTACTGATTTCTTGAAAACAAACAAGAACGTTTCTTTTACAAAATTAATCAAAATCAAAAAATTAACGTTTTTAATGAGTAAAACTATTAAAATAGATTGTTTTAACCTCAATACTGAACATTTTTTAAGAATAAAATTTGTGAAAAACTTTCTTCATTTTCAATGTTTTCTTAATGACAATCTTTACTATAAAAATTTTACATTGTTGTAAATCTTAGTCTTTGTCCAACTTTTTATATATTATATATTTTTATATATTCGGAATAAAAACTCAAACGGAATAAAATGTCTGCAAAACGAGTTTTGGATAAGTAAACTCTAATATTTTTTTTTTCGTTCTCAAACTAAACGTTTCTTTAAGTTCAATTTTTGCATTTTTTAAAAATGACAAAAATTTTTGAACGAAAATAGAATTTTATTTAAATAGTTGTAATTCTTAAATCATAGTCT